CACCCAGCATTATATCAAAGCAAAATGTGGGAAGGTTGAATCTTGTCATCTATGCATATCCATTGGAAACATGTATTCATACGAAATATTTATGAAGCTTTTACTATCTGCAGCTTTTCTAAAGCTGTTACAATGCATCTAGGCTGCTTTAAAAACAACTGCTCTAGCTGTTAGCTTTGTCAGAACATTTGTGTTTGAATTATGACAAGTGATAGCATTGTCTGTATATGTCTCCTACGGTACAGCTGACTCATTTGTTTACAGACAGAACTTTTCGATATTACAATCTTATCTCCATTATAATCTTGGTTCACCTAATTTGCTTCTGTTTTGTAGGTTGTGATTGACGGTGAAACATGCTTGCTTGACATATTGGACACTGCGGGACAAGAAGAATATTCTGCTATGCGCGATCAGTACATGCGAACAGGTATATCATCGAAAATTCAGTGATATAGGACAAAATTCAAAGATCCATGAACATTCACTAGCAATAATGTGAATGTCAGTGAGCAAAACAGAGGCATTTATACGCTATCCTATCCCTATCATATATCGCCTCTTCAGGCATCGTTCAAAAAGAAAATCGGTTTTGGGTGAGAGCTCAAATTTCGTGGGACTACTTCATTTGCGTAGATGTCATAATACCTGACATATAACTCATACTCGAGCCCTAGCTTTTGCAGTATTTCATTTATTCTCTTAGTTATTCAACTTGGAAAAGAAGAATGTGTTTCGTTTGTTATGGGGGAATTATGTAGGGGTATTGTACTTTTTAATGAAGTTGCAATGAACTGGCATTCAGAATCTTATGTTTTATTTAGCTTAACAATCATTAATAAAATTATTATTACTTGCTTCCTATTTTGCCCAACTACCATGCTGCTCACCTAGTTAGTAACTAATGTCCAATAACTCTTTAATTACTTTAATCGAATTATTGCTTAGTCTAAATGCCATAAACATTCAAGTTTTTCCTCATTTGTTCTCCTGTACCACCCTAAGGTCCTACAAAGTCGAATTCAAGATTCACACTCAGCTTTCATTTGTACCCAACGCTATGACGATGACATTATGTTTAGGAGAGGGTTTTCTGCTCGTTTTTGCTGTAAACGAAGCCAAGTCATTTGAAAATGTCGCTAAT